GTAAATATAAATAATTGAGCATCCTTGTATGCGTGTCTTTTCTGATCCAGACACCTCATGTTTGATATTTTCCCAGGTTGCAGTCCAGATGATGAATATGGAGGACACTTTTGATTCCTATTACGACCAGGCAATCAACACGTCAGTCCTCCACTTGCCCTTCAACAGCACCTACTCCATGCTGCTGATGTTGCCTGACGACATGGCAACGCTGGAGTCGACCATTTGCCCAGGGCATGTCACCAAATGGCTGAAGGGGATGAGTCAAAGGTTTGGACAAATCTAAAATCATCATCAATTTCTTGGTTTCTAACATGGAAGGTTTGACACTGTAAAAAACTCAGCTGTGTCCTGGTAGATCAGTTATTTCTGTCAGATCATAACTTATTGTTTGCCTATTTCTTATTTTATTTTAGGAGATATGATGTCTTTATTCCAAAGTTCTCCATCAAGACCTCCTACACACTGAACGAAGTGCTGATCTCAATGGGAATGACCGACATGTTTAGTGATCTTGCAGATTTGAGTGGCATTTCAGAGGGGCAAAAACTGGCAGTCTCAGACGTAAGATCACATATTTCACACACATTTTCTTCCCTACATTCCACCCATCTAACTTTATCTCTGTTTCACTGCAGGTTGTGCACCAAGCCACCCTTGATGTCGATGAGGCCGGAGCCACCGCTGCAGCAGCCACAGGCTTCGACATCACAGATATGGATTTCCAGAATATCCCTGTCTTGAAGTTCAATCGTCCATTTATGGTTACCATTGTTGAACGCATCACAGAAAACATCCTTTTCTTGGGCAAGATCATCAACCCGAAAATCTGATGGGATAAGCAGATTTGTATTTGCTTGAGCACAGCAGTGACATCACATATAAAAAACCCTAAAAAAAATGTTGTTCTTTGATCTTTATTTTGTGTTGCAGAAACAAAGAGTATTTGTTCTAGTTTGTGAAGGTCAAATTAGGCTGGGATGAAAATATTAGTAACAGCTATCAGCTTTTATTACACATGCAATAAAATCAGAGACTTTGTAGATTATTTATTAGTTTATGCTCTAACTATCTTTTCTGCAGTTTCTTCCTAAAAAAACAACCCATGTTTTCATGGCAGAACACTTATTTATATATTTCTCTCATATATATATTAACCCTTTTTTCTAAGATGTTTAATACATGTGGGGTATGTGCTACTGAAGAGGATATTTATTGTTAAGAAAATAATACAAAAAATAGATTTATTATGAATTAGGCATATTTAATGCAAATTATTGGTGAATTTAGGACGAATCTATAGACTCGTACAAATAAAAAACATATAAATTAATACATACAATTAACAACTAAGTGTGTATTTTTACATGTTTTTACAGTAGTTCGCAATAGTATTACAAATTAACTAAGTACTATATTGTTATGTTGTGTTTGTACTATAAGTATATTTTAATTCTAATTCTGTTGTGCTTTAACTTGGGTAATATTTTTGAATTCAGTATTTTTGCTTGTAAGTGAGTATTTGTACTCTGTGGCATTCTACTTTTTAAATGTTTAAATTGTAAAAATATCTAAGTAGCCAATTTATTTCCTCCATCAATTCAATTGTTTGCCTGTAGTCTCCTCGTGGGGCTTCTTATTATACATCCATGGCTGTGGCTGGCAGCAACGCACCTCGTGTAGTCTGTTCTGCTGGAATGAACAAATCCCAAGAAGAAGAAGTTTTTCGTGTTTTGATTGGACGGCTGTTGAGACATGGCCGAAACAACGGGAGAGGGACCTCAAGGAGCCCCGGCCCCGGCCCCGGCCCCGGCCCCGGCCCCGGCCCCGGCCCCGGCCCCGGCCCCGGCCCCGGCCCCGGCCCCGGCCCCGGCCCCGGCCCCGGCCCCAGCTCCAGGCCGGGCCGGACCCCAACCCCTGAGCGATAACCCCAGCCTCGCCAAGGTCCAGCTGGTCATGGCCAGAATGATGCTGCTGCAGGAAGATGTGGATGAGTTTGTTGGCAGAAAGTCGGACAAGAGTTATCGTGTTCTGGAGGAGCTGCTGACCAAAGAGCTGCTGCTGCTGGACTCTGTGGAGACTCAAGGACAGGAGACTGTCCGGCAAGCCCGAAAGGACGCTGTGCAGAAGATCCAGGCCATATTGGACCAGCTGGAGAAGAAAGCCTTCTGAACTGGACTTATTTACTGGTTTGTCGGTGTCTAAGTCTTGCTGTTTTCCTCTTCCAGATCTTCCATGGACACAATGAAGGTCTACTCTTCTCTATTCTTCTCTCTGAGGGTTTTTCCACAACCATGATAATAAAGTTGTACATATTATAAGTGTCTTTGAATCTCAGTGAGTGACTCTGCTGGAAACACAACCTGACACTCTTACTCAGCTTTTTCTGTAATGTCATGCCTTTGCCAGCATAATGCAGGGCTGAGTGACAGAGAGATGAATGTCTTCACATTTTCATGCTGTCCCTCAGGATTGTGGGTGGGTCCGATCCTACATCTAAGAACTTCAATCCCCATCTATTATTACATCTCATAGTCCGTTTGCATGATATGTCTCCAACCCTGATAGAGGCTAAACAGTTAGTTGTCCATAGTGCTCCCAGCCCTGCATGCACTATCTGAAGATTGCTGTCCCTATTATTCCAGATTTTGGATGAAATGTCCTCCTACCTGCGGACCTAGAATCCAACCTATATATGAATGCCATGTATTTTACTCTAGGAACTACTGTTATTACAGATACATAAGGAACACTTTAAGAACTACTTGAAAAACTGATACATTTGGAACACTTGGAATATATAAATAACTATAGGAAAGTTAATTGTATTTTCAGGATTATGTGTTCAATATTTTGCTGTAAAAGATAAAGGAAAGGATAAACATTTTCAGTAATGTTTTTTGCTTAAGGACAATATTGATCGCAGCACTTTGTTTCTGTTTACTGCCGCACCAATATCCTGTTTTCCACAATTATTAGTTTTCTTGTGTAGAGTAGACTCTCTTTTTTTTTTTCAATCATCTTGATGTGTTGATTTAGAAAAAAAGGAGTGCCATATTTCAGGGGATGGTTTTATATAATTAGAAAAAAAATAAAATGAAGATGACAAGCTTTGCATGAAAAAAAACACCTGTCATATGTGTTCATTTTCCTGTGCTGTTATGTTTTATGGAGCACAACTGTACAGTTTCAGATGTAATGCATGTTTCCAACACAAGATGGAAATCCTTGCCTGACAAGTATTGAAATTGAGAAAATAACAGAGAAATAATTAAATGTCAATATATTTTCTAAACTGTGATCAAATGAATTTATTATCTTTCTCGCTGTTTATTATTGTTCAAAGATAGACGTTACAGAGCGAATTAAAGAAATATTTAGCTCTATATTAAAAATGGCAATTGATAAAAGCCAGTTTCATACTTAAATAGAAATGGAAACAACATTTTAAAAGTGGAAACAGACTTCTCATCACTCCCCCTGCTAGTCTTTTCAAATGGTGTTAGTGCCATCACCACAGTCGCAAAGTCAACTGTTACTTCAGTTATTCCACTATTCACCCTTTCCATTTCAGGGGATAATTACTGCTAATAACCTAACACGGGTTTACTACCAGGGAAAACTCAATCGCAATCCCTTTCCTGTTGCAGTTGTACAATACAGGATTCCTTTTTGACGTTAAAGCCTTTATTCTCCCAGTAAATCGCACCAAGCAAGGACAGATTTGTATAGTGAAGGCAAGGCTAAAATGCAACCAGTCAAAATGCAAGGGGTCATTATTCTGAAGCAATCTATGTACTATCAACATTTATTTGTAATTATAAACGTTAAAGACAAAAATGTATATTGCTTCTTTAAAGGGGACCTATCATGCAAAATGCACTTTTGTACGTCTTTTATACATGAATATGTGTCCCCGGTGTTCCAGGGAACTCACCAAGTGTCAGAAAACACAACCCTCTCTATTTTCCTCCATACCCAAATCTCTAAAAAAGGGGCTGCAACGGATCTGATAAAAACTGATCCAGATTTGAACACTTTCCTGACGTCAGGACAGTGGCGCTACGGCTATTGGGCCAACTCCACCAATCAGGAGGAGACAACCACGGCATTGCCGTTCGAAAGCGCTGGAGACGTTGTAGTACATATGCCAGGCCTCTAGATGGTGCTGTTGCTCACAGAATCAACCCTTGCTAAAACAGATCTAAAAAATGTCAAATTGAGCAAAATGAGGCATGGCTAAAATGCATGATCTGTTTGGTATTTTGAAAAAAAAAAGTATAAATATGCCTTATATAGGTATGGTCCTACACTATATTATTCAAATATAGCATAATAGGTCCACTTGAAAGAATTGAAAAATAGCCTGGTTTTGGTTGTCAAGTGGAAACTGCTGCATGGGTCCAAACTCCTTCCATCTTCCAGATTTGTATAGTGAAGGCAAGGCTAAAATGCAACCAGTCAAAATGCAAGGGGTCATTATTCTGAAGCAATCTATGTACTATCAACATTTATTAGTAATTATAAACGTTAAAGACAAAAAGGTATATTGCTTCTTTAAAGAATTGAAAAATAGCCTGGTTTTGGTTGTCGAGTGGAAACTGCTGCATGGGTCCAAACTCACTCCATCTGCCACTCAGCACACAGGCCTTTAAATAGACAGCTATTTTAATGCAAAAGCACAACACAGGCCCCCAGGGGCGTGGGGCTCGGGATAGATTTAATGTGAGGGTCAAATGGCCTGACAAACCTTAGAGCACCCTGTGCCGAGTACATCTGAGGCAAAGAAGCCGGAGCCTAGAATCACCTGGGTCATTTGTGCTGGTAGTTTGACACAGTGGTTTTAAAAAGCCTGTTGGAAAAACTGTATTTTCCTCTGATAGACGTGGCCTCAAACTGCATGTACGTTTTTTCTTTTTGACTTTTTGTACCGTACTTTTAAAGAACCATACGTTGCCTCATATAAAACCCTGTGCTAAGAGAAGCACACAGAAAACGTGATGTCCTACACATCCAAACTTCCCGTGTCCTGGAATGATACGCCTCCCCCTCGGAAGGTGGAAATTGACCTGAGTTCACCTGGATTGGCGGTGTTTGAGTTGGAAAGACTCTTGTTTACAGGCAAAGCAATCATCAGCCATGCAGACGAAGTGTGGCCAAGGCTTTATATCGGTGACCAGTAAGTTACTCACTTTTTATCCAGCCGATTGCCTCACTAAAGTGGAGCATGTCCTTGTAACTTTTTGCTGTGTACTATATTTTTCAAAATATGGTGTGTGAGACATTTCAACAAATATGACCCAAGTCTAGAGTTTGATACAGTCCACATAGGCGTAAGAGGAACAGATCATAAATCAGATTTAAATGGGGTATGAGTAACTTAAGACCCCCCCATGTTGCATTCCGCATTGGGAGCATGCGTAAACTACAGTTATGCTATGTGAGAGTTTCCACTGATGTGTTGGCATGAAAGCCTGTCTCGGTCATGCATGATTCCAACTTGCATGTCTGAAATTGTCTTTTAAATATCAATTATCACTATGAAATACTTTACATGCATGTGTTTCCTCGAGAAACACCTGCTCTGTTTGTCTGTATATTCGACCTGTTATATGTGAATTCAGAGTTTTGCGCTTTTCAGGAACAGTGCAGAGAACCGGGCCGATCTCACCAAGCATCGAGTCACACACATCCTGAATGCAGCTCACAGCAAACGGGGGGTGCAGCCAGACATCTACGAGTGCATGGAGATCACATACATGGGAGTAGTGTTACCAATCCCGCTTCAATCACATTAGTATGCATAAAAAAGTGACAGGTCACACCTTCTAAGTCCCGCCCCCTAATTATGCTAATGAGCCCCCTTTGATATGCTAATGAGCCCCTTTGTTCGAGGTGTTATCGCGTACAGGTGTTACATCCTCCCGGTAGCCCCCACCCCTCTCAGCCCCCACCCCCCCCCCCCCTTAGCCCCCACCCCTTCTCAGCCCACCCCCCTCCCCCTCACATACAGGTGTTACATCCGCCCTGTAGCCCCCACCCCTCTCAGCCCCCACCCCTCTCAACCCACCCCCTCCTCTCCCCTTACAGTAGGCGTCACATCCTCCCTGTCGCCCCCCACCCCTGAAGATAGTGAGGGGATGGAGTCAGTCATAAAAATAGAAATCTATGCAAAACTAGATAAAAGCCAGTCATTTGAGCTTTGAAACAAATTGATATGATTCGATATTAAACCAACTAATTATAGTAGATTAATTAACTATTCAAACGTGTACAGTAATTTACAATAACACGGGAATAATAAACGGGTCAGCAACAGCGGGTCTCCCCCGTCAGATTAGACTTTACTAGATTAGACTTTACTAGCGTTTATACCCATATCGATCAGATCTAGCTAGTTCTAGCTAATGATATGACTACCTGCTTATTAAAAGACACCTAAACAATAAGCGTCACTATGCAACGGGGTGAGGCCACAAAGTATAGTACAGCATTATGCATTTTGTTTACATGCCCACCGGAACCCCGAGGCATTACCAACAGATCAACGCGCAATCAACCCATACAGGACATCTCTTGCTACACATTATGTGTAGACATTATAATTGACTATTCTTGTCTGTCACATACTCTTTTGTCTGTCACACACTATTCTTGTATGTCACATAAGTGGCGCAACTGATGCGGTATTGCGCTAAAGGGGGCCAGTCAAGAAACGGGTGCAGTATCTGTGCCGGGTTCAGACCCTCCGTCTGAGGCTCTTCATGAAAAATGGAGTCTGGGTGTGTGAGACTGTCTCCCCTCATACCCCCTCCCACCCCCTCCCCTCCCCCCTGCCTGTCACCTCCTGATCTTGCGATCAGCTGTTAATTCTCATTCACTAAGTCACCTAAAACTTTTATTGGAATTGGGTTTTCTTTAGAGCTGTTTTCAGTGAGACAATGCAGTTTCTGATCATTTTAAGTTTCAAGTTTCAAGGCTTTATGGCATATGCCCATTAGTTACAGTGTAGATATGTCAATGAAAAACATAGGTCACAGGCTCCTCCAACAGTGCACATAAAACAGATAAAATACTGCAATTTGTGCGTAATTCTCTCACAAAGGAACTGTAAGATACACGTTTATGTATGGAAAACTATATAACTTGGTAAAATATTCATTCATTTGTAATGAATTGAGTTTTCTTCAAGAATCAAACTCTAAATGGAGAGTTTGTGATTTTAACACTGTTTCGATGAAACAATGCAGTTTTGATAACTTGACTTGACTAACATTACTCTTTTAAATATATGTTTTTTAGATGCTTTACTTTTTGATTTCTTTCATATTATTTTAACACAACATTACTTTTTTCATATTTTTCAACATACATATATATAACATATATATATTTTTTTCTCTCCATTATATTTTTGAATATACAGTGATTTTTATCAAAATACAACATGCAACTATTACATTATACAATATTACGACTTTTTGCGATATTTTCAACACAATATACCTTTTTTTTGTAGGGCTTCAGGATATTTGGCATGTCATGCCTAAAACCGGTGTCATCTTTCCTGAAACTGACGTGCTGTCCGTTTTACAAACAAGTTATCTTTCTGCTTCTTCCCCCTATGAATTTTCCTCCCCCGTCCCTCTTACTACAGCCATCACAACAGCAACCAAGTCAGATCTGTGAAATTAAACACCTCTTCCCAAAGCGTGACTTCCCTATTGAGGGAGTGGGGCAGTGGGGCCTAACACGCTTTGGCCAAATATACTAACATGCAGAACATATGGTATGTTTGAAAAAAGACTAACCATCTATCCAGTTCAAGCTGTCTTTAAGATGTGACATTGCGCTCTGACTTTTCCCCGTAAAATCGTGACAAACTATTACTTATTAAATTTGACCTCATGCTGCTTGGTTGAAAATGATAGATGAGCATTTACCAACAGATCAACGCGCAATCAACCCATACAGGAGATCTCTTTCTACACATTATGTGTTATCACTATAATATCATGTCATTATTTAATGTTGTTTTGTTTGTGTGTGTGTGTACAACGAAGTCTCTTTGAGAGGAAAATTATAACTTTAAAGATCTTAATACCCCCTTATTGTTTAATTACTTCACACAACTATTAAAGAATCCCTATATGAAGTTACATGAGGCTACATTTACTGGTGTGCTTCCCTAGATGATGTAAATAGTCTAAGTGTCATGTTAGGGGGGCATTACGGACCTCAGGAGTCCGCCCTTGGAGGCTTGGAGAGCGGATAAAGAGAGGTGTATTTACTGGGGTTGAGCCCTGGATGATATAAATAGTCCACGTGCCATGGAACTCAGGAGTCCGCCCTTTGAGGCGTTGTTAACATTAATGCTTTTTGCTTTTGTTTTTGTTACTAAGATACTTTTTTAGCCTTATGATAGGATGAACTTAAGCTGTAGTCAATAAAGACATGTTTAATAGAGTGTTGCTGTTAGAGAACATACCTGCGCAGCACTCCACCACGTCTTGGCTTTGGCTTCATGGCCTTCACTGTCCTCTCCCTTTGAGTTTTTTCAAAGGCTGGGATACATTTTTCCAAATGATCACTTGTTACATGGTGACAAACATATGGTTATATAACCTTAAAGAACTAACAAAAAATAATTAAGTATTTGCAATGCATAAACATAGAAGTTATCACTGTCAATATTATTCACCTGGGCATTAGTGGGCTTGAGGGTCTCAGGGAGCGTGGACAAAGTGACTTGTCTCTGTATTTGAGGATTCTCAGTGCAGGCACTAACAGGAAGCTGCTGTGCATTAGTGGAGAGTCCTCTGAAGGCAGCTGTTATTTCATTCACACACTCATCTGCTACCTGCTGACTCCTCATAGTAAGTCTAGCCAAGTTAGCTGTTAAGTTGTCCATACCATCGCTTGATAACTGGTAACTTTTGATTGACAGTCCAGCCATGGCAGCTGCCAACTCGTCCATATAATTCTTAAGAACGTGGTGACAATACTACAAAAAAAAGTGTATATATTAGGTCAGTTAACCTTGAAGAGCTAAACAGTTCAAGTGGTAAGTAACTAAGTATTTTCAATGAATAAACATAGAAATGATCACTGTCATATTATATAATCACTTAATATGGAGATAAGTAAAACTGACACAGACAGTTTAAACTGCTTGTTAAAACGCTATTGCTTATTGTGTTTTCTCAGCACACTAACATAAATAAGGATGTATAATATAAAAAACTAGAAAACGATATAGTATTTTCAAGTCTTACTTTAGTATGGTAAAATTAAGAATAAGTCACATTAAAGTGTGTCATGATTTTCCGTAAAAAAGTCAAGTATAGTTTGTCAAAAGAATATGAAAAAATCATTTTGTAGAGTAGTATGTTGAAAATCTCAGTGTTTAACTGAACACACCTACATGTGATAACGCCTCGAACAAAGGGGTAATTAGCATACAAAGGGGGGTCACTAGCATCAGTGGGGGAAAGGTGCTACGGGAATGAACTTTGAGGAGGGGGAACTTGTAAGAATTTCCAGCTTTTGAAGATAATTATATGGTACCCGTCCTTACAGCTAAACAAATCCTATGCCAGGTATTCTACAGACCACAAGAAGCACAAGAAGCCCCAGAAAGTATTACATTCAGAGCTAATAATGGTGAAACCGAAGAAGAAGCAAAGCAGATTATAATCGTTGCGGGTGAAAGGATAGAGAATTTGCAAGTGATGTTAATGCACTTATCTGATATAAAAAAATGCATTCATTTACTTCCAAGAGACCCCTAAACATCTACTTGGGCAATGTGAATTGAACGATAAACCGATCACTGTAAATGAAACGCGGAGAGAAGCAGCAGTGCAAATCGTTAAGTCTATTACCTTGAATGCACTACGACATTAACTTGGTCAAATGTAATATGTCTTTCTGAAAATGTGGCGAATGGTGTGTTTTTCAATTAAGCAACCATAACAAATTAAAATGTGTTTTATTCTTGCTTTCATATATAGTAATAGTATTAACTCCTTTGACTAGACTGTACTAAAATAAGACGTTTCACTGTTAAATAAAAAAATGGAAGTAGAAAATTGAGATAATGATGAGGTTCGTTATGTATCCAGTAACTATGAACAGCAGTTGAAAATGTTATTTAACCCTTTAACTCTAATAGACAAATCTAAAATAGCCTCTAGCTTATCTATAAGTTTGTGATTTTAACACTTATTCACTGACACAAGGCAGATTTTGGCTTTTTTCTCATGCCAAGATACTTTTAGACACACTTTGAGGTATGCAAAACCTTAAAACTAGAAAATGAAGTACATTGTCTGATTAGATTTTTTCTTAAAGACTGTTTCTCTAAAAGGCAAGTTTTGTGATTTTTAACACTTATTTACTTTTTTCTCTCTTTTCTTGTGTTACCAAGATACTTTTAGATACACTTTTGATGTATGCAACACTTAACAAAAGGGTATAATATGAAGTACTTTGTAAGGAATGGGGGTTTCTTTAATACCCCGTTTTTTTATTTTTAAAAACACTTGTACAGTTAAATAATGTAGGTTTTCTCTGATATTTTAGTTATTTTCAGCTACCAAGATACTTTTTTGATACACTTTAATGTAGGAACATTTGGCAACTGGTAGAATGTCAATTATTTTGTAATAAAATGTATTTTCTTAAAGACTGTGACTCTAAAAGGGGAAGTTTTTTTTTTTTTTTTCTCCCGTTGTCTTTCACTTACTTTTTTGGATACAGTTTTATGTATGACAACTTTACAACTGGTAGAAAGTTAAGTACTTTTTCTGAACAGATTTTCTTTAAGACTGTGACTCTTAAAGGTAAGACAATCCAGTTTTATGGAAGTAACTTACATTTTTTTTTTGTTTTGTTTTTTCTCCTACAAAGATACTTATAGTTACACTTTAATGGATGCAAAACTTTATAACTTGGTAAAATATTCATTATTTTGTAATGAATTGAGTTTTCTTTTTTGTTTTTGTTTTTCAACATACTATTGTACACAATGACTTTTCCATATATATATATATATATATATATTTTTTTTTCAGACAAACTATACTTTTGACTTTTTCCGTAAAATCGTGACAAACTATTACTTATTCTTACATTTGACCTCTTGCTGCTTGGTTGGAAATGATAGATGAAAAAGCTACAAAGCTTAAAGAACTTTTCTAAAAACTCTCAATTCTACAGATGACTCCCCCCACTCAACGCAATAAGTCCACCCCCCACTCAGCAAATCATCTAAAACGAAGGACCCCACTAAGACGCCCGTTGAAAACTAGCCAGGGATCTGAGAAAAACCAAGTCTCCCCCCGCGAGATGCAGCCAGGAACAAACTCCTGGACTACTATCGTCCCCAGCATTGTGGACACCCAAATCTTGCAATACTACAGCTGCTGATGTTACTCCTGGGGCCAAGACGTCTCTGTTTTTGAACATAGTGAAATCGGAGTTGGTTGATATTCTGGAGAGGGTGCTGCATCGGTACAGAGAAGAAATCTGCAATGGATCCCGAGTCAGTCACCCCAGCCAGAGGCAACACGATTGTGTGAATGACATTCCAGAATATTTCTTCAGAAACAATTACAACGCGTTAATGAAAAAGACTTTGGCTCGCCGACTTCATTACTGCGATTGACCAGAGTCTTAATGATATAAACATTTACATAGCTGAATGAAGGATCCAAGGCGCTTCGGAGGCTTTTCTGCACAATCTCAAAAACTGCAGACGCCTCAAGGAGAGACTTGAAAAGATCCACGCCGAGCTGGATGGAGAGGAAGAAGACTAATAACCAGCGGTTGATTTGAAGCCGGGGATTTTTTCGATACTTTGACTTTTCTTTAAAGTAAAATAAAAATGGGTAACTACTATGGAAAACAATCTGTATTTATCTATCAGAATGCAGTCAATACCTGTTTAATAAGTGTGTTGTTGATGACGATTGAAAACAGAATGAGTAGTGATCCCCGTGTAAACAGAACGGCTGAAGTTTGTAAACTAGAAGACATTTTGGATATCGTTCATTCTGGCAGTACTATTCCGGGTCATTGGGAAACGATTGTAAACGAAACATTTAAAGTGGTACTGGAATCTTCATTTTCCGAAACATTCTGTAACATTACCGAAGAAATGAAACAAACACCAAAAGTGTATCATGTGCTCGCATTGTATGCTCTGTTTGTAGATGTAATGCATCTTTGTGTCAAAAACAGCATACACATGAATACTTTGGCCGAAGTGCAAAAACTCCATTATAATATTTCCCTTCATCTGGGGGATTCTATGCTGGAAAAGATCCTGGGGATGTTGCAATCAGTATAAATGTATTATTGATTCCTATGGGGTGAAAACAATAAATTGTAAATATGAAATTCTGCAAATAAAAAAAGTGTTTTTTACATTTAAAAAAAACTTGTCTTCAAATCATAGTATAGTATTTCCTACATATCATTTTAAAAAAGAGTCACAGTGTAGAATGTCCAAACATTTAATTTAAAAGTACTAGTATAGTATGTTAAAAGTATCTTGAAAAAAGTCCAAGTATAGTATGTAGTTAAGAAATATATTATATAGTTTTGTCTGCAATGTCAGTATAGGATCTCTAATAAAAAAATAAAAAAATGAGAGAAAGTCATAGTATAGTTTGACAAAAAGATCCTGAAAAAGTCATGACACTGTGTGTTGAAATGGTTTTGAATAAACACATCAGTATTTTAAAAAGTAAAATTGTATCAAGTGCATCAGACAACTCAAATTACTCCATTTGAACCATATTATAAATAAGTAAAGAATGGTCATAGTATATAGCAGGGGTGTTTAATAGTTTTCTGTGTGTCGGTGTTTCAGTGTTTCAGTGTTTCAGTGTTTCTGTGTTTCAGTGTTTCAGTGTTTTGTGTTTTTGTGTGTCAGTATTTCAGTGTTTCAGTGTTTCAGTGTTTTGTGTGTCAGTGTTTCAGTGTTTCAGTGTTTCAGTGTTTCTGTGTTTCAGTGTTTCAGTGTTTTCAGTATTTCAGTGTTTTGTGTTTCAGTGTTTCAGTGTTTCAGTGTTTTGTGTTTCTGTGTTTTGTGTTTCAGTGTTTTTTGTGTTTCAGTGTTTCAGTGTTTTTGTGTTTCTGTGTTTCTGTGTTTTTGTGTGTCAGTGTTTTCAGTGTGTCAGTGTTTCAGTGTTGCAGTGTTTCAGTGTTTTCAGTGTTTCGTGTTTCAGTGTTTCAGTGTTTCAGTGTTTTTGTGTTTCAGTGTTTTGTGTGTCAGAGTGTCAGTGTTTACAGCCTTTCTTTGCTCTGATCAATCCCCAGGGATCCTCCCCTGGAAGGAATATAGCAGGATGAGAGAAAAACATTTAAAAAAAACGTATCTTAGAAGTGGCTATAACATTTGATGCAATTCTAAAAGATAGTCAGATTCCTAAAAAGTTACAAACGGATGCTGGAAAAGAATTATTTGTTTCTTCAGCAAGGCTTCAAAAATCTTGTTAAATAATTCTTTTCCAGCATCCGTTTGTAACTTTTTAGGAATCTGACTATCTTTTAGAATTGCATCAAATGTTATAGCCACTTCTAAGATACGTTTTTTTTTAAATGTTTTTCTCTCATCCTGCTATATTCCTTCCAGGGGAGGATCCCTGGGGATTGATCAGAGCAAAGAAAGGCTGTAAACACTGACACTCTGACACACAAAACACTGAAACACAAA